TTAGTCAGATCCACCAGCAGTACCTGGAGCCAGCTATTTCTCAGTGCTGTGATCAGCTCTGGACTTGCACAAACTGCATGAAGCTGCCCCTTCCTGGAACTGGGATAACTCACAGCAACCATCCCTTTGCCATCCAGGTGCCCCAGCTGGCTGACTGTCCCTATCCAATAAGGACAGGGTTTTACAGCCCCCGACACGTTTATGCCTTGTATTTAGCGTTACACACGTTGCAGCAAAATTCTGTATTCTCTACAGTTTATGATGCTACATGATAGTAGTTGCCGATAGGAACCATGCATATGAACTGAGATGACAGACCCAGCCTCCAGTGTCTTTACCTACACATGCCTACTAAAACTATTCATTTCCTTCTCTAGCCTCATTTTTGTATCTCTGTTTCCAAGAACAGGCATATGGCTATCACATTTAAAAACTCAGTCTACCATGACTGTCCAGCTTTTAGGCTCGCCTGGACCACAATGAGTGAAAAGGAACTGTCTTAGACAACATATAAAATACAGAATATAGTTAATGTATGTAAGTATTAAAACATACATAGAGAGAGAGAGAGAAAAAAAAGTAGAGGGCAACAAAAACATAAAGCTGTGGGTTGGACACGTATGGGACCATTGTTAAGATTCAGTGTAAAAGCAGCACTGCTCCATGCTGTTCCTGGGGAAGGCAGAAGGAAAGCAGGACTCAATTCTCCCTTCACTTTAAAGTGTTTTACTGTACTCTCTCTTTCTAAACAACCCATTTTCTATTTTTACTTAATGCATCAGGAGGAATGGGGGATGCACATTCTGGAGCTGTAGTTAAAATTTTCTTGCCTGCTGTGCTACGCAGGCCTCCAGCTGACCACACACAGAAAGCAAAGTTCATGCAGTATGGCTGCTGTACGGCATGCAAGACAACCACTGGATGGTGACTCAAATACAGACGATTTTTAAAGTCAACAGAAAAATACCAGAAGACAGCCCATGCACACAGCTGAGTACAGATAACCTTTGGACTCCAGCAGCAAGGATAATCTCCATGGACAGCTGCTCACAGTTGCAAGAAATTCTAATGAAGCTGCTCTAAAAGAGCAAACCTTTCACTGTACCCATCCAGTCACAGGATCCTGAGCCAGCTCTGTGTTCTGGCATCAGCTCTGCATAAATGCCTTGTGGACGAGCTCTTCATTAGCTGGTCTGCTGATGTGAACACAATTAATCACAGACACAAACCCTTCCAGCACGAAGCTTACAGTTAGAAGAAATGATCCAACTTTAAAGTTCAGTATTTGCAAACACGCTTTAGCCTCTCAGATGCATTAACAGACAACACAGATCGGGTTTAGTATTTTAAGCCATTACGTGATGCTGATGCTGTGCTGTTAGCACAGGTTTTTCTCAACTACAATGAAGTTTTAAAGGCTTGCACTCTGTCCAGAGGGCTCCCTGCCTAACACCCTATGTCAATTAGATATGACTAAAACAAAACAACACCACACTGCCACACTTAATGAGACTAAGGCTCTATTTGAACATACTATGGTAGAAAGAAAGACAGGTAAGAACTGTTCCATAGAAGTGCACAGAAGCCTTGCCAACACCTTCATCCATAGGACCCACATGGCAAAGCAGGACCTGAAGCAGTTCATTTCAATTCAGTGCTGGCATTTTTATGTCTGCAGCTCCCCAGTTGCTATCTCCACCTCATTTACAAAGCCTGTTAATTTTCTTTTTTCATTCTCTCTCTCCATGCCAGTAAGGAACAAACTACTACGCAAACTTTCTCTAGGCTCACAATCAAAATAATCCTTTAAATCCTGCAAAGCCTCAGTTAGCGAGGAAGTGCAGCAATGCCTGAGCATTAAACAAGTTTTCATTGCTAAGTCAACAGACACACATTTTTGTTTATATACATATTTAAATGCAGGTTCACTTAATTCCCACTCTTCGGTTCAGAGTCTAAGCACACAGTATCCAATGTGATTTCTATGTAATATAAAAATATTTCCCTAAATTCTTTTCTAATCTACTTTCACACTTGGATTTCATCAATATGTTGAATTTCTGCTTATCCAAATAACATCCTTTCTCTCTTTCTATGTACATACACATTCCCCTTAGCCATATGGATTTGCCAAAACTATAACACTTGACCTTAGATGTGTTGAAATTCAAATAAATAATCTCCACATCATTTAATGAAAGGAAAATAAAGCTTTTCTTTACTGAAAAAATGTTTTTCTTGAATGCAGCTGTTCAAAGACCACCTTTCACAAGAGTTAAGCTATGAGGTCATCAGTCTTCCCAAACACAGAATTTCTGAATGATAAGTAGTAGAACACTAGATACAGAATAACACAAATACAGAAGGAAACTGGGAACATCCCAAGGCATCACCCTTTTCCCCCATATACAAACAGCCTTTTTCTCTATCCCTACAACCACAGGTCGGGAGGCCTCTCCAAGTACCCTCAAAGAAATCCGAAGTGCTTCTGTTGTTAGTCAATAACAAAAGCATTCATGTTAAGGCTGTTTGTTTGTTTTCCCCCTCTGAAGGAGGCAAAGCACATCTCCAACATAAATGTGAGCCATCTACTAATTCTCAAGGCACCATTCTAAATACATAGGAGTTTTCAGGAGACAAAGTGTTTCATTTTAACAAGCCTAAATAGATGCTCACAAACAACTCATTATTGCCATAATTTCATCATCAGAAATAGCTGAACCGCACTGAAAACTTCCTTCAAAAACCAGCCCACAGCATGGGAGCCTTCAGCGTAAACAAACTAAATTACTTCCAAACATTGTATGCAATGAAAAATCGACACCTTACAACAAACCTTGCTCAGCAGACAGTTCCACCAGCACTAACTGTGCTAGCAGGGCTTACCCAAGAAAAATCTCTCAATTTACACAGCCTAATTCCTCACCACCTGACCACTCTCTCGCACAACACCACACCAAACTTTATTTCTCACAACGGGGACACCAGAGGACTGCAGCCAAGTGTCCTCATGGTGTCACTTGGTAACATCCAGTTCTCTTTCCTGAACAACTCCGTGAGAGCTATCCATTTTGATGCAGTTATAGGCTATCAAAATCCATGTTATACCTCCTTTCTATAGCTGCTAATATATGCACTAATATATTACATGCAAGCAACAAATAATATGACTCAACTCCAAGGTTTTCTAAGAATATTCAAACCATGTACATCTGCCATATAGAAAAATCCCTGTCATTCAAGCTGCACATAGAGGCTGGATGACCAAGTGATTTACTGCAATTGTGCTCTGAGCGTGTTAGAATGAGAATCCTGACTACAACCTACAAACATACAGCAATTGATCAAAAAGTTAAACTGATATCAGGAACAGATTTACAGATGTGACCAAAAGGAAAAAATAATTTCACTGCACGTGTTATACATAAAGGCACTAATTAATATGACAGCATTAGCATTTTCTTCATCGCAGACAAAACATTTGCTTTCTCATTTACAGAAGAAAAAGAAAGCCTTAAATTGTGAATTAGCAGTTCTGTTGCAATCTAGGGATCACAGAAGTTACGGAAACAGTAGGTTGCTGCTGAGCTAACTCCTCAAATCCACTTAGCCTATACAAGGGAAGAAAATAACAATACCAGAACGCTTCCTCTACAAAAGGCCACAGATCTCTTTCAATTTGAACCGAGCCAAAGCCCCATTCGCTGCTATTTGTACCAGTTTCACTTCCAACCCTAACTTCCTCCTCATCGCCACACTGCCTACATCAGAGTGGGCTTCTCAGTCCGGCCATTATCTTCTCGTGACAGGGATTCCATTTTCAGACTATATCAGGCATTTCTCAAGCAATTGCTGCAACGATTCTCAAAGCAGTATGGGATTTATCTTATTTGCGGTTTGTGGTTCATATCTGTAAAATTAATCACTCTTCCTACCTCATTAACTTGTAAAGTAGCCACTGTGAAGAAAAATCCATGGCCATTTTTAAAAGCCTTCTGTCAGAAAAGTGATGAAATTCATTATTTTCCTTTCCTGACCTTTAATTTTTGATGTCACTTTCTTTGGAGTCATTTGAAAAATAAAAAGGAAAGTCCTAAATGCAAACTGTACTTCAAATGAGAGGCTGAGAACTTGCTTCAGACTCGCTATGGTACGTGACTTACTTACTAAGTGAAAATAAATCACAGTCTCTTCAGCTGAAGTCTAACACAGACACAACCGCATGCAGCCAAGATATTCAAGAAATACTTTACCTAAGCCCTTACTAGAGATAACAGCCGATCATTCAGATTATTTGACTGAACTAATTATATTAGATTACTCTATTAATTAATATCTACCACTTCACGTCTGCATCACACAGCGCAGGAGGAACGCCGTCCGTGCGTCCCTTTTTACGGGAGCGGCCGCCGAGGCGTCAGTTCCTCGGAGCGCGTTAGCCGGGAGGTTACATAACGCGTCGCTCCGGGAGCGATGCTGCAGCGTTACCTCCCGTCCGCTCACGGTAAAACCGAGCACGGCCACGGGGGCGGCGGGGATGAAGTAGGACTTCTTCTTCCGCGTCACTTTCCTCGAGGCGGACGCGGTCCGCAACCCCGGGACGGGGCAGAGCCCGCAGCTCCAGCCGGGGTGACCCATCCTCAGCCCGACCCCGCGCCGGCAGACACCGCAGCGCGGCCGGCGGCAGGGCTGCGGCCCGGGGACCCTCCCCCCACGCCCAACTTCGCCAAAGCGGCCGTCCGGTCTGGCCCTGCCCCGCTCCCTCCCCACCCGGCGGGACCCCGATACCGGACCGTCGGCCGGCGCCGCCGCGCCTTCCCGGCAGCAGGTGCGTCGCTGCGACCGCTCGGATCCCGGCCGGGCTGTGGAGGCGGCGGGGCGCGCAGGTGCTCCCTCCGCACGGCTCCCGGAGCGCCGGCTCCGCTCGGTCCCGCCCGCAGAGCCCTCCCTGCCCACAGGAAGGCGCGGGGCAGCGGCCGTCAGCCCGACGCGCCGCTCACCTCCTGGGCCGCTGCCCCTGAGCGGTCCCGTCCTCTTCTCCCTCCTCCTCCTCCTCCATGGTGCCGCTCCACCCCCTCCGCGGCGGTTCCGCGGCTCTCCAGCAGGAGCTGTCGAACGGCTGCGGCTTCCCGCCCGCGCAGCACACCGCCGAGGGCAGCGCGCCGAGCTGCAGGCAGCAGCTCCACAGCGCCCTGCCCCGCACCATGCCGCAGCGGCCCCGCGTGCGCGGCCGCCCCCGCCCGGCAGTGTACGGCACTGATAACAAGATGGCGGCGGGGCCCGGCGCTTGAGGCGGGCGGCGTCGGGCTGGGAGCCGGCCAAGGCCTGTGGTTGATCCCGATAGTCCGTAAACGTTCCCCATCTATGCGGGCTCTAACTCACCGGTGTCGTAGCGAAAACTTCGCTAAAGTTGGTTCTCTCAGGAACTGGGAGCCTGGCCTCCGCTGCCAAAGTTAAACTGTGCTCACTTAATCCCGCACCGCTGGAACGGGGACCCCCCTCGCACAGAGCGGCTCTCACATGCCTGCATTACCCTGGTTCTTTCCTTTGCTAGGAAATTAAAACTCCTCACACAGTGAGTTTAGTCCACTGCCAAGCCCCTGTGAGCATTCCTCATCTGGAAGGAAGTGAGGGGTTCAGAGGAACCAGTCTGGAGAAATGAGAAGTTCACAGAAGTAGAATAGGTACTTTTAAATTCTTTCCATACCTCCTTAAGAATGTAAGACGATGGAAGGTAGAGAACAAAGTTATGCGTGTGTGATACTGCATGTAGTAGCAGTATGGATTCAGAGGCTATCTGGAGCTCAGACACATTTATATGCACCTTATCTAGAAGCTCAGGAATCAGTAATGAGATTGTTGGGAAATCTCACATAGGATCAGAAGTGAAGGTCTAAAGATCTTGGGGGAAGCACAGATACAGAGTAGGTGGAGAATGGCTTGAGAGCCCTGTGAAGAAGGATTTGGGGTTTCAGTTGATGAAAGACTCAACACGAGTTGGCAATGTGCACTTGCAGCCCAGAAGGCCAACCGTATCCTGGGTTGCATCAAGAGAAGGGTGACCAGAATGTTGAGGGAATTGGTTCTGCCATTCTGCTCTGCTCTTATGAGACATCACCTGCAGTATTGCATCCAGTTCTGGGGCCACCAACACAAGAAGATCATGGAGTTGTTGGAGCAGGTCCAGAGGAGGGCCACAAAAATCATCAGAAGGCTGGTGCACCTCCCCTGTGCGGATGGGCTGAAAGAACTGGGGCTTTTCATTCTAGAGCAGCGAAAGCCCAGAGGGGTCTGAGGGAAAGGCTAAATGGCCTTCCAGTACCTGAAGGGAACCTACAGAAAAGCCAGGGAGGGACTTTTTATAAGGGCTGGTAGTGACAGAATAAGAGAAAATTGCTTTGAACTGCAAGAGGGCAGATTTAGGCTAGATATTAGGAAGTAATTTTTTACTGTGAGAGCGGTGAGACACTGGAACAGGTTCTCAGAAAAGCTGTGGATGCCCCCTCCCTGGAAGCACTGAAGACCAGACTGGATGGGGCTGTGAGCAACCTGGTCTAGAGGGAGGTGTCCCTGCCTATAGCAGGGGGTTGGAACTGCAAGATCTTAAATGTCCCTTCCAACCCAATCCATTCTATGAGTCTATGGAAATGCAAGTCTTACTTTTCTTATTATTAATCGATCATTCCCTTAACCTTTGTAAAGTAAAGAAGGCTAATACTGCCACATTATCTTGTTCAGAATGAGGAAAACCAATGTGTATTTGTTACCTTTGGTCAAGCAGATTTGCTGCTGATTTATGAGAGGGAAAATCCCAGTTCATTCCTCCTGACTCCTCTCAACTGACTTTTCCTGATCATTTCATCTCCTATCAGTATGTCTAAAGATAAGCAGGCTTTGTAGATGTTTTGATTTGTACTCACACTTCATTCAACATAAATGTATATGGATTGAACTTATTTCTACTCTGGCTTTATAGAATCTAAGGCTGACTACATGAGTTAGATGATAAAGCTGCTCTTTATAGCTACAATCAATGCCTGTTAGGTTAGGAATAATTAAAGCCTATGCATAGCAATTTGTGCAATCCAGCAGGCAAGCGCCTCCAGACCGGTAGTATCTGATTGCCAACAGTAATGGATTTGGGATGCTTATCCTGAAGGTCAGCTGAATGTCTCCCTGTAGGCAAAGCTGCATGCACGTGTCATTTGGAAGTTGTTTCTATGTCACCAGTGCTACATAAGCCATACTGAAGGAGTAAGGCTGTGCTTGATCGTGTTTTGTCTATACTGCAAATACAGATGTCAGCATTTGGAGGCTGTAAGTAAAGACAACTGGTGTCTATTCAACACACAGTGTTCACAGTGTTTAATTTGAAAGGGAAACACCTCTTTTTCTAGTGAAGAATTATACACTTGTTCAAGTATGTTCTGGCACAGCTAAAAGTCTGTATCTAATGTGTGTTACCTACTCTGCCACACCAGTCTGCACAACATGAGAAAATTAAAGTTGAGAGGTGTTTCTCAGCAGAACCAGAATTTTAAATTAATTTCCTGTTTCACTACTCCCACGAGCCATCTAAGATCTCAGTCTGGTCCTGCTGCTTTGGTATGTTTTGATCTCTCAATGTCTTATGTGCACAAATGCACTTAAACCAAGGAAAAGTCCCAATGGGACATTTGTGCTCAACAAGTTGTGCAAACCCAGAGCAGAGATCTGTCTGACTTGTAAAATACCACAGACATGTTAATGTGCTTAGAGGACTGATGTTCAGATTCTGCAGAAGCTGGGGTCTAGAAGTAACTAACAGATGGGGAGGTTCCAGGCATCTGTGAATGAGGTACAAGTTTTTCTTTGCATCTAGTCTGTAATAATTTTATTTTCTTCAGTGGCACACATTTCTGGTAATTGTACTGTTCAGACTGGCCCTATATAGATCTGCTATAAATGGATTGGGAAGCTGCTTTATACTGCGGAGAGGCACAGATACTGAGGAATATCAATCAAACAGATTATTACTGGGTCGTGTATTTTATTTTCTCACAGTGAAATTTAACAGCTGAAATAGAATCCTATTTTATAGAGGAAGTTTTTATGGTATATCATTTCAGTAACCATTTGGAAGAAGATATTCCTTAACATGGCTTAAACTGCTTAATACAACAACCTGTATCTTAATTAGAATCATGCAGTTGGTATTTCATGAATTGTATCCACAGTGGTGTATTTCCCTTGGAGATAAAGCATGAATTAATCATAAGCAAGACAGCTCAACTCACTTGACTATAAATCTTCTCTGGATGAAGGGTTTCACTTTCAATGCAGCAGAAATTTATCAATATTTTGTTTAGAACTCGGAAGTGTAGAATTAATATCTTGTTCACAAAGTGTAATTTAGTTAGTTGACATAAGCTGTGTCAGAGGAAGGTACCTACTGTCTTGGTCAGTAACTGAAGCACAATCTAAAGAAGGAAAAAAACCCAAAATTCTTATAATGAAACATATTTATAGCTTTGTACCTGAGCTGTGTTATCTTGATTGTGAAAATCCTCCAAGATAGTAAAATTAAACATATTCTGTCATCTCTTGTTAACATTAGAATATCAGTATCATCAAACCCTGTTAGACTTAGGCTCACTATAAACTAGGCAACATTTTCTTTGACAGCGCAGGTGCAGCTTGTAGCATCAGAGAGCACACTCACTGGAGCAGTCTGAGCTGGATCTCTCAGTGAAATAAACTATCCCAGCAAAGACATTTTTCACCACTCTGATGGTGTCTCTACTAAATTTCTTACTGGCATATAAATGTTGCACCAAAAGGAAGTCTGCTAGGTTAGTAAAATTCTCTCTGGTAAAACTGTCCCATGCTGGGATAAAATGGAAAGATTTAACCTAGCCCTTCTAATTATAATGTGGGGAGGAAACCATTCTCATGGTACCCGTGCTGTTTTGGAGAGAAGTCAAAAAAGAAAAGATATTTAGCATGGTGCAGGCAGAGGCAAGCAGTTTTAGAACATGTTGGATGATAAGCTATCCTGTGAAAGAGGGGTACACTGCCAGCTAATGCATATACACAAAGACAGTGAGTGCTTTACAGTAACATTTAATTAAAACATACCTAAACGTAAAATATTTCTCCAATCTGGGCATAGCCCTTTAAAAAATAGTTAAGCTAACATTCTCACTGAGCTCCAAGATGTGTTTTAGAAAATCTTTCTGAGTTACTCCACATATCAGAAGCCTAATGGCTGAAGGATGTTCTGGGAACTAGAAAGAAAAATGGCTCAAGAATGATTAGTGGATACAGACCTGGCAAAAGAGCCTGTTATAGTTTAAATGGTAGCTTTAAATTGACAGTCACAAAATTGATGCAGAACCAATATACAGTACTTAACAAAGTAACTGTAAATGTCATGGTTACTGTTACAGATCCAAACTTCTTGCATGGGAAAGAAGCTGACCATTTGGGAGACTACAGAGAAGGAATTTAGAGAACTACTAAAAAAAAATCAAAACCAGAAAACCACCACGCTTCTAAATATTAAGTGAAATACTCTCCAATGACAAGCTAGTATCTTTACTTTCTACTTAGAAGGTAGGATAGAATCATGGAATGGCTTGAGTTGGGAGGTACCTTAAGGATCATCAAGCTCCAACCCCTCTGCCACAGGCAGGGCTTCCAAACTATGAGTGGAGGAAGACAATAACTGGGACCATAATAGAGACATTTAGGTTGCATCTGTACTAGTAATGGTCCAGGAGCATTCTTCAGCCTCAAAGCCAAATTGTACAGTGCATATATTTTCCTAGCCCAGAAGAGCAGGTGGCTTCATTTGCTGCTCAGCGTTCCCTCACCCCTCTAATGCCTCAGCTGTGATTGGGCACTATATGGGAGAGTGTTGGCACGAGCAAAAATGCAGGTTGTTAAACCTTGGTAGTGATTTAATAATTCCTAGTGATAATGCAACTGAATTCAAGGTCCATGCCCTGTTTACTGGAACACATCTGGCCTTAGACAATACCTGATTTTGCAACTTAACCTTGTATCTCAGGAGTAGTGCCAACCAGTATCAGAGAGAACTAGGGCTCCCTGAACTCAGTACTGCTGGAGCACAGCCACATAGACCTCCATCTCAAAGAGCAGCTCTCAGGTCTGTGCACTGCCCTTGTTCTTTCCTCTCCTGACAGTTTCTTCACACAGTGGATG